AACCTGTAAAATAAAATTAGGTTCGTTTACCCCAAACACAACCCTTGCGTGACATCAATAGATGTTCCACTACGTTACAAAAGAAAATAGTTACATCAACAGATGTTTAACTAAAAAAAAAACACCAAAATAGTTACATCAAGAGATGTTTAACTAATGTTTACAAAAGTAATTAAACAAAAACAACCGTCTTCAAAGAAGATTCAGCTGCGCCCCCTAGCACTACACTTAGCTGCACCCCTTAGTACTTTGCTTAGCTGCCACCATAGACGTGATTCAGCTTCAGACTTCTAGTACGTTACTTCTTACAATGTTTCGAAGCTAGTTTCAAAAGAAAATTCATTTATAGTTGAAGAAATTTTTGAAACTAAAAGAAACAACACAAATAAAAATAAGCAGCTGGCTTCAAGGAAGATTCAACTACTAATACCAAATACTGACTTCAAAGAAGACTCAGCAGTACCAAAAGGTGATAACAACTTATTTAAGTTTAAAACATACAAAAAAAAAGAAAAAAAACTTATCCCACTGTGCATACACACAGAATATTTGGGCTAAAAAAAATAGTTTATCCAATATATAGAATTAAATGACAACAAACCCTTAAATACAAGAAATAAAGAAAAAAAGAAAACTAAACAAAGTTAACATACAAAAAAAATATTTACCCCACTGTGCAAACAACACTTGGAAATGCATAAGAAATATTTTACCCCGCTGTGTAAAAGCCATAAATTCATCACCAAGACCAATTTCAATCACTATTATCAATGTATATCCTGGTCACCCGGCAACAAAATGTAATGTACCCTATGTATCTTCGTAACCCGATTCTTTAAGTATACTGAAATACTTGTTTTGGCACATTCGTGATCGTCTAGATAATTTACTTACTCTATAAAAATTAGGACTCTACGTTGTGTATTTACTTACATTGATAATAACGTTATTTTGAAATTGGTCAGGTTTAATGAAACACAAGTATTTAATTTTAAACCCCTGATTTAATTTAAGCAAAGACAAAGGGGTGGCCCGTTGAGTCAAAGCACAGGGAAAAGGGACCATAAAAACCCTGTCGACTTACACAATTCAAATAAAAATAAAATACAAAACAAAACATAGTCATATGGGTCATAATCACAAGAATACAGTATAAACAATAAGTGAATAAAATAACATAAAAAGCAGATAAACATATTTCATAGAATTTGGGTGTTTTTATCAATATTCAAAAACATTTTGTACTCAGGTAAAATAGTTATAATAGAGATCGTCATTTTATGACGAAGTGTTTGTTTACCTTACCACGCATCTTCGAACTATTGAACAAGGATACGATTTTATATAAATAAACTACAGCAACGACATATTTCTGGTAGAGAGAATTCAAATGCCTTTAAAGGGGAGGGAGACATGGAAAAATATAATCTAATGCAGATATTTAACCGTAGCCAATAACCACACTATGGAACAATAGCATCTCTGTGAAGTGATATAACGAAACCTAATGTCCTTATCTCACTATAGTATCCCTATATCACAATATGTTCAAATATTCTCACAAAATCAATGTCCAGAACAAGACAAAAGTATTGCGAAAATATACAAACAATTCTGCACACAGAGTTTATAGAGGTAATAACATAAAAACACTATTTTTCTTCTAAGGATAAATCCTTTTGAAATAATGCTAATATATTACCCATGTTCAAATATTCATGTATGAACACTCTCCAAACGAAAACACAAGTACAAATACAGACACAAATAAAATAAACAATATGCAATAAAATAAAATGGTATAAAATATAAATAAAATACAATAAAATAATAAATAGGAGAGAATCATAACAAGAAACACCTGAACATGGCCAAAACTCTAACCACCAGAAAGTATCGCGCTGAATAATAACATAAAGAGATTTTTATCATATATAGTAACGTTAAAGCCATTATCAAATATTCCAAATAAAGCGCTAAGATAAGCAGTTTAAATCAAAGTCTCTATCCAGAATCTATCAAAAGGTTAAACGATACTATTACCTTACCATGATATGACCTAATGGTAATATCAAATTTAATAATAATAATAAGAGCAATAATAATAATAATAATAATAATAATAACATTTTATAAACCTTACCCAAATAATACCAATATTATAATAATAATATTATTGTTAAAAGCTTTAGCCTGAGTACAAATGCAAAGAGTTAAAATAAATAAATACCTTAATACCGAGATGATACACTGAGTTTCATAAACAATAAAATACATTTCAGTTAAATAAAGTTATACAAAGTTATACAAAAGGAAACAGCAAAATCAAGGCCAGTGTAACTCAAAATAAAGAAAATACAAAATAGTAAAATTTAAGTCAAACGTAATTCAGTGTACATGCGACAACATAAAGATTAAAACTCAGTGTATGCGCGATATCAAGATATTAAACCAAAATAATGAAATAGTGATACAATAAAAATCATTACCAAAAATCACTCGTTATTTACACATATTAAAATGATTAGGACCCAATAAACTAGCAATGATAAACGTCATAGACAAAAATGCGAATTAAATAATATTGTTCAAAATTATAAGCAAATTATAAGCAAAAATGTATTAAGAAAACCCAAAACGAGGAGTTGTTTATCATTACTAGCAAAAATTACAATTTAAAAAAGAGTACATACCTAGTTATAGCAGAAAATCGGTAACAATCACAAAAACTATAACTATATTATATTATAATATATCTCACAAACTGTGAAACAGTTTCTCGAGTATCTCGAAGGGCGAGCAAAAACACTCTGTCTGTATTCTATTTCCTAAACTAGCTTTTAAACATCTCGGCCACTTAAGCAAGAATGTCCAACATAAACAAGTTCACCCTAATATTCCTACGCTCAGATACAAAGAAGTGAAACTTTAAACGCAATAGATTTTAAACATAAAATATCTTAAAACTATAATATTATTTTTTAGTGGATTATTTAAACTTTCCTTGGTTAAAATAGCGCCAAATTCGAATTTAAAAGTTTATATACTACAGGACCCTTACATAATAAAGGCCACCCTAGAGTAAAATTAAAAAATAACTTAAATTGTCAAAACTAATAATATTTTGCATTAAAACATTATTTTATTGATAAAAATAGGCACGATACATATTAAAAATGATATGCCCTCTAAATAATTAATAAAATCTTTTAAAAATCATTTAGTTTTAATCATTTTTTAATAACTAAAAATTTTCATTATTATATTTTAGAAAAATATTTATGAAAAAATATTGTATAAATGTTTAGACAAGTAATGTATGCCACCTTAAAAAACTCATTATGGCGACCTGAAAATTTTTTTCCTTAAAGTTTAGTCAATATTAATAGGTAGTATTTATTACCACTTATAACCCTACAAAATACCAGGCGAATAGGAATTATTTACGGTTATAAAGTGGTCTTAATATCGTAAAATTAAGACTTATGAGTAACATTTACCATTACCAAGTAAAAATTCTGACGTTTAAATTACCGTTAAATTTTTCTTTTGGTGAATTACACTTTCTTTCGAAAAAAATACGTCCCTCATAATACTTTAAAGAATTAAAACTTAAGGGTTATTAAAATAGGTAAAAATACATAACATAAATAAAACTTATTAAATAAATAAAAAAAATTACTTCAAAGTAAATTTTGAAGGTTAATTTAACAAAATATTTACTAAAATTAAGTAATATTGCCTCAAATCTCTACTCTTTTACTTAAAATGCTGCTTGGGATTAGTTTTGTTTTAAAATGTACAAATACAAATATTGTGCATAAATTTATATTTTTAAATTGAAAACGCACTTTTCTCTTATAAATAACATTATCATCGGTTACTTTTAAAAATAACTGTTTATCTTATTATTATTATTTATTATTTTGTAGACATCAAACAGAATTATTAAAACTGCTAAATTAGTTTGTTTTCATCAATTTTTTATTGTTTTGGTATATCTCTCAAAATATTAATTTTTTAGATATTCTACTTCTATGACTTTTTATTCTAATATATACAAAATTTGTAAATTTTTTATTTGCATGTATTGTTTAATTAATTTACTTAGGTTAGTGTAAACATGTAAGTTCTAACGTATTTAGTAACATTTTTTAAGAATCATTAAGTACCTACATATGTACATAGTATTAATTTAACAAACAACAAAAATAGGAAAAATTATAAAAACGTAAAAACTTGAAACATTACTTTTTTATGACATTTGTTTAAAAATTTAAGTATAAACCATCATACATTTTGTCTTACATTTTTGTGAGGAATCAATTTTAATTAAATTACTTTTTTTATTTAATTTAGGAATCACTGTGTGACCGCATGTCTTTATAATTATTTAAGAACCTACATTTATGTACATATAAGATTAATTACAATAAATATTTGACATGAAAACAAGTTTGGAAAATTTTACCAATTTAAAAATCGATTTTGTTTACTAACTTTTACTAACGTTTGTTTATGAAAATTGTTTACTAATTTTACAATTTCACAATCGGAAACTTATAGGAAATTAAAAATCCTATAAAATAAATACCAACTATGCCTATTTTGATTAAAAAACTGAGGAGATATGACGTTTTTTAGAAATATTAATTCGAGAGTTAATTGTAGCGAAAATTTGACAAATTATAAATCATATTATAGAATCATTATAAATATTTAAAAAAACTAAAAAAATTAAAATTAACCTTACTCCAAAATTGTAGAAAATCAAATTCCCTTTCATTTGACATATGGCATGCCATATTTATCTGAAAAAACAATCGAGATATGGCGATTTTACACAAAAACATGGCTTTCTAGATCAAAACGTTTTTTCACCAAAAATAACATTTTTCACCAAAAATAACATTTTTTCACCAAAAATAACATTTTTCACCAAAAATAAAATTTTTTTCACCAAAAATAACATTTTTTCACCAAAAATAAAATTTTTTCAGTGGACTCGGACATGTCAATGGCGGCAAGCAACTCGCTGCCCGCCACCATGAACAACAACAACAACAATAACAACACCGCAGGCGGTGTTGCCGTCATCAGCCAACATTGCGCCATTTGCGGGGACAGAGCGACCGGAAAACATTACGGCGCCGCCTCCTGCGACGGTTGCAAGGGATTTTTTAGGCGGTCCGTGAGGAAAAACCACCTCTACACTTGTAGGTAAGTTAAGATCAACAAAACCAAAGTTTAATTCCAAAAATTTATATTTTTAACACTACTAATTACCAAAAAATATCTCATTAATTATACACATAAACAATACTTTAATAATATCTTTTTATTAGTTCTTAATTTAAATAATGTTGTAAGAACAAAAAATTGTTTTTGAAACCCTAAAATATTAAATGCCATTATACCTACCAATTAAAACTATACTTTAATCCTAAAATAGTATTTAAATTCAAATTCAAGGCCATTCAATATTTCCTAATATTTCATACAAAAATGTTCTTAAATAACAAATCATTAAAATTTATTGGTACTTAACATGCGTTTTTTACGAAACGGTTAAGCTATTGTTTTTTGAATTTCAACATCGCATTTAATTCAGAAAATTAATCATATAAAAGTAAATATTATGGTAACTATTAGATAAAGCCTTAATTCATTAATTTTAAATAAAAATATAGTTACTTGGAAGAAATAATATTCACTATCTTTAACCAAAACCATAGATTAATAACCTCAAAACACTGTATTGACTTAATACTACAGATGTCCATAAACATAGACGTTATAGATGACTTTATTCTACTATTTTGACAAACAAGTCCCAATAACATTAAAAACCGTAGACACAAAACATAAAAAATATATTTTCACTATTTTTTACAGATTTAACAGAAGTTGTGTGGTAGATAAAGACAAAAGAAATCAGTGTCGATATTGTAGGTTAAGGAAATGTTTTAAAGCTGGAATGAAAAAAGAAGGTAAATTTTGGGTTTAAAAACATCATATAAAAGTTAATAAACATAAAATTTTTAGCTGTGCAAAATGAAAGGGATAGAATAAGTTGTCGAAGGCCTTCATATGAAGAAAACAACCAAAATAATGGACTTTCTGTAGGTTCTCTACTGAATGCTGAAATGCTTTCCAGACAAGTTGGAGCTGCACTAGAGGTTGGTAACGCCTAATTTATTTTTTTTAAATATCCACTTTAATTTATTTATTTTATTTATAGTAGTTAAATTACTCAGTATCCTTGAAGATGAGTGTATCAAATTAGCTAACTATGAGAAAAATATTTTAATAAATAAGATTCCAAGATAAAAATTGGCAAGTCATTGTTCATAATAGCTCGGATTTGTATGTTTAAATGAAATTATAATTAGGAATTATATGCTTGTTAACTACTAATTTTACATGGTATCATATTATATACCATGCTTATTTAAATACCATGAAAATGCCGTGTTAGATAATTTTATAGTTCATTTTTTTATCTGGACTGCGGCAACGTTGCAAATTTAGGGTTTTGGTTGGTAAATACAGTTGTCAAGTTGGTCGCATTGATTAAAACAAACTAAGCTAGTTATACATCTAATTGTGGTTATGTATAAATTATTGAAGGTTACATTGTGCAGTTGTCAAGTTGAGTTGTCGAAATTCGTAGTTAAAAATGCAATTAATTTGGTTTTGGTGGTGCTTGGATGAGTAAAATCATATAAAAAAGTGGTTAAATATAGGTTGCTTTACGGCCCAGAAGAGAAAGTATTCCTAGCGGATAATAATCTTCGATTTGAAAAGAAATTAAAATTTTTTGTGAACGTAAATGTTATGCAATGGTAAATAATGCGTGATGTAATATTTATAAAACCAAATTCGTTACTTTTTTACTCCAAAAATGTCCTTAAGGCGATGTAATTTTTCTTCCATTGTGGCATTTGGTATAATTTCATCAAAATGAAGTTTTGCCCTCAAAAGGGCTTTTACATTCCAATTCGTTGCTATTATTTTTGGCATAATTATCTTTTTATTTATAATTGACAAGTAAATTATCAATAATAAATATTATTGTCAATTTGACAGTGTCAAAGGATTTACTTATATTCTTTAGCAGAAGTACCATTTTTAAATACTAAAAATACTAAGTCAAACTGGCATAAGCCACCAACCTAACAAAAAAACACGAGACCAGATAAAAAAAGATGAATTTTTAACTACGAATTTCGACAATGTAACCTACAATAATTTATACATAACCACTAGCTTAGTTTGTTTTAATCAATGCTACCAACTTGACAAATGTATTTACCAACCAAAACCCTAAATTTGCAACGTTGTCGCAGTTCAGATAAAAAAAATGAACTTTACATTTAATATATCGATGTTTAATAAAATGATTCAATAACCGACAACTTTTTAGCAAATGGGATCAACTCCAGTGAATGACTACGACCTGTCAAATAGACAGCTGGCCAACATAAATGACGTCTGCGATTCCATGAAGCAGCAACTCTTGATTTTGGTGGAATGGGCCAAATATATTCCCGCCTTTACAGACCTGCAACTTGATGACCAGGTAAATTTAAATCCCTAGGAAATATGCTTTATTTAATGCTACCAAATGACGTTCTATGGAAAAATGCATAGATAAAACACAGATTTACAAAAATAAGTTTTTGGTCTATTGATTTTATGCGTTTTTTTGAAAACTAATGACTTAAATGTCCCAAGGCAATTATTAGTTGGATTTATGTAGATGTAATAATTTGGCTATTTAATTTGCATAATTGTAGGTATAAATAACATTTAAAGGTAGAAAAAATGGGACATTTGCAAATGACACAAGGTTGTTGGGCAATTAAGTAGGAGTATAATTTAGCAGGAAAATTAATAGTCTATAATAATAATAAGTTAATTTCGCCTATTAACGATGGAAAACACTTTAAACACGCGGACATTTCGTGAAACGTGCGTAAGCTATACTCGAAGGAAATTTTAGTTACATCCCGGACATTTGTTTTAAATTTAAAAGAAAATTGAATTAAATTATGGAATATATAATTTTTTATTATTTTAATTGTGTCCTGCACAATAAAAATTAAATAACATTATGTCAAGCATAAATTTAATTCAAATTTAATGGAAATAGATGGGAAAAATAGCAAATTATTATTAGGTCTAGGCCTAATAATAATTATGTCTAGGCATAATTAAGCATAATTATTTTTTATGATACATTTTAATGAATTAATACAGGTTGTTATGTAATTAATGTAATATATTAAAATACTGAATACCTTTTGACATTAGATGTAACGGAAAAATAAAAAAAATATTTTCCCAAAGATAAAGAAAAAATATGCATTAGAAGTTTTTTTTATATTTTTTGTGATACGCCACTGGTTACACACTTGCCAAAAATAAATAAAAACTCGATAAATACAACAGTTGTATCCCTTAAAGCTCTAATGCCCTTCTGTATTTAATTACTCATCCAGCTATTAACTTAAGCAATGATTGGAAAATTTAGTACCTATTTTAAAAACTCCATAACCAAAAAATTAATTTTTTCATCGATTTTTTTCTTTCTGTTTACTCAGATGAAATTAGGACAAACATTCAATTTGTGTAAATAAATCCAAAAGCACTTCCCTTTGTTAAGATATTTACAATTTGAGCACATATCCTTTTGAATTTAGAAAAAAAAAATCAGGTGCTTTTTATGGACCCTAAGGAACTACCCATTTTAATTTATTACATTGATTACATAATTCACAAAACTGTGATATAATTATATGACGTAGATTATTTAAACATACCTAACATTTGAACTACTGCAGTTGCCACTTTCGGCCGCACTTTTGCAGCGCCAAATTAATTTTATGTGTAGACATAAAATTAATTATATACTTTTATCTGCACACATTAAATTAATTATAACTTTTTAATTGTATATGAAATGTTTATTTAAATATTATTGTGTCACAAAAATATTGCACACAGAAAATTACATTAAATAAATAATTTAACATCTTATATAAAAATATTTAACTTCTTTGGCATGTATAATTCTAATTAATGTAAGTATTATTTTTTAGAGCAATTTATTATTTAAAGTAAAGTTCATTTTTTTTTATCTGGACTGCGGCAACGTTGCAAATTTAGGGTTTAGGTTGGTAAATCTAATTTTGGTTATGTATAAATTATTGTAGGTTACATTGTGCAGTTGTCAAGTTGAGTAATTAAATTCGTAGTTAAAAATGCAATTGATTTGGCTTTGGTGGTGCTTGGATGAGTAAAATCATATAAAAAAAGTAGTTAAATATAGGTTGCTTTACGACCCAGAAGAGAAAGTATTTCTAGCGGATAATAATCTTCGCTTTGAAAAGAATTTATATAAAGGAAATTAAATTTTTTTGTGAACGTAAATGTTGTCCAATGGTGTATAATGTGAAAATAATGTGTGATGTAATATTTATAAAACCAAATTCGTTACTTTTTTACTCAAAAAATGTCCATAAGGCGATGTACTTTTTCTTCCATTGTGGCATTTGGCATAATTTGATCAAAATGAAGTTTTGCACTTAAAAGGGCTTTTACATTCCAATTCGTTGCTATTATTTTTGGCGTAATTATCTTTTTATTTATAATTGACAAGTAAATTATCAATAATAAATATTATTGCCAATTTGACAGTGTCAAAGTATTTAATTAAATTCTTTAGCAGAAGTACCATTTTTAAATACTAAAAATACTAAGTCAAACTGGCATAAGCTACCAACCTAACAAAAAAACACGAGTCCAGATAAAAAAAAATGAACTGTATTAAAAAGTGAAAAACGCACGCCAACTTAGTAGATTATTCCAGTTAAACTGTTTCATTGATTGTTTTAACGATTCGTCAATGAATTTCTTATTTTGTTGCGGTGTCTCGGAATGCCTTGAGATGACTCACGCAATAAACAATTGACGTTTTGATGTTGTGTATCGCAGGTGGCCTTGTTGAGGGCGCACGCAGGCGAACACCTGTTGCTCGGATTGGCCAGGCGCTCCATGCACCTCAAGGACGTTCTTCTTCTGGGAAACAACTGCATCATTACCAAACAGTGCCCAGGTGAGATAAATTACCTACCACTTGATTTACCTAAGCGTACGAGATCGTTTTGTTTCGTTACTTGTATGGCCTTAGTTTTAAGGTAAATGCCAAAAATGTTTTAATCGTTTTTTACGAAAATTTTAGTAGAAAAACATTATTGTCATATTTCTTAAAAAAAGTGATTGGGCTATACAAAAATAGTTTTTTTAATAATAATAAACAGCGTGCTACAAAAATGCCGAATAATTTATTAAATTATTGTAAGCATTATAAAACTACAATAGATCAGGACCCCTATGTACAGGGTGTTATGTAATTAATGTTATATATTAAAATACTGAATACCTTTTGACATAAGGAATAAAGGAAAAATATTTAAAAAAACATTTTTCCAAAGATAAAGAAAAAATATGCATTAGAAGTTTTTTATATTTTTTGTGATACACCACTGGTTACACACTTGTTTATCTCTGCATACCTGTATTTTGTGAGTACATAGATACCAACCAACAAAGTAGCTATGCGTTTTCTTGCAAAAAATAAATAAAAACTCAATAAATACAAAAGTTTTATGCCCTTAAAGCTCTAATACCCTTCTGTATTTATTTACTGATCTAGTTATTAGCTTAAGCAATGATTAGAAAATTTAGTACCTTTGAAATTTGAAATCCATAACCACAAAATTAATTTTTTCATCAGTTTTTTTCTCTGTTTACTCAGATGAAATTGGGACCAGTTCACAGGTTAAACTTTAAACATTTAATTTGTGTAAATAAATCCAAAAGCACTTCCCTTAGTTAAGATATTTACAATTTGAAAACATAACCTAAAATTTAAAAGAAATGCACTAGATTCTGTCATAAAAGTTGGCAGATTTTGTTTGAATTTACCTTCAGTACAAAAATGAAATAACCAACAATTAATAAAAACGCCAAATTGACAATTTGCATTGTTAATTTTGTCATTTTTGTAATTAAGCTAAATTTAAACAATGTTTGTCAACTTTTTTGGGAGATTTTGGAAACACTGTTACCAACCATAACATAATAAATCCACCAGATTAACCTAAAGTTCCTAGTCGATCAGTGGCGTACTTTTTGGTAGGATAAAGGTTATTATAAATTATTTTTAGACTCTGGAATTTAGAAAAAAAAAGTTTCAGGTGCTTCTTTATGGACCCTAAGGAACAACCCATTTTTATATAATATTAATTACATAACACCCTGTATATTTAGTTAAAAATTGTGCATTAATGGACTTGGTTTGTTGTGGCTTTGACCACCTGTGAATTTTGTTTTTATGCATGTTTTTGTGTTTATTCACTTTGTACAAATTTGTAGAATTACTAAACGGAATCAGGTGGAAGTTGATATACAAGGCATTTATTTTTTATTGTTATATAAATTTCTAGAATTGCCATTAAATTTATGTATTTACATGTTTAGTTGATATGCAAGTAGTGCAATATTAATTGCTGGTAATCAATTAATTAAAATAAATGCCGGTATAAATATATAAAAATACTTAGCGAAGTAAATTGTTTTTTATTAACTCGTCAATGATTTTCCGTAATTATTATATTTATAAAGTAAAACGTAGTTCATTAAGATTCTTAGTAAAAAATAATAAAAAACGCGGTAGCTTTTTATTTAACCCATAAAAAGCTATCTCACTTCATCACGACTACAGTAGATAAATAAGACCAAAATTAAATAGAATTAAATTTTAGTCTTATTTAGTTGGACATATGTTGCCTCAGGATTTTTGCTTGTTCGCATGTTCGTACGTTTAGTACCATTTAAAAGCATGATAGTTTTATTTGTATTTTTGGCATGGGGAAGTTTTATTTTATTTGTTTTGATTTTTTGATTTTTTTACTACCACATTCAAGTGCTCTATTTGAAAAGAAAATGTTTTTTTCATTGAAATTTTAATTAAATGAGTCAACCAAATACCTATTATATTATTAAAGATACAATAAATTAAGTTAGACAAAAGATAATTATTATTTTTATTGTTTATTGTTCAATAAAAATTATCTTTTGTCCTTTATTACTGAAATTGGATATACTGCATTTTAGTGTTGTAGCTCTAGCATAATGTGGAGTTTTATTTAATCAAAGAATTAACATCTAGCACGAAAAAACTTGACGTTTTAATGAAAAAAACATTTTTGTTTCAAATGGAATACTCTACTACCTCATACATATTTATATGGTAGGGGTTGGTTTTTATTACTTTTGGTACCTACTTTACAAACAGGGTGGTTGATTAAGAGGTGGAAAAGTATTGATAAATTTTACTATCAATTGTTCAAACAAAAACTATCAATAATACTACCAAAAAAAGAAAATCTGCATTAAAATTAAGTACAATTTATTTAAAAAAGCCATTTATTAGCACCCATAAAAATTAAAATACTTACATTTAGACTTGATCTTAAAATTGCGTTTTAAAACGTCGATGAATAAACTAAATAAAAAACTTTGCAAATCTATTGACATAACCTCCATTTCGAATTTTGACAAATGTCATGCATTTATATAACCATATAAACATATAAGCACAAAGATAATAAATTATCTATTATTATTATAGATGATATATTATCTTTGTATAAAACACACATGACAACAGCTGTCAATCAGTGTTGCCAACCTGGATATTTTTCCTACTTTCAGGGTTTTTAGAGACTATCCAGGGAATTTTGTCTAAAAGATTTAACAAAAACTATTGATACATCAATATTACCATTCGATAGTTTTCCACCTCTACAGTATTTTGAATTTTGAATCACCCTGTATATTATGACGTGCATAGATAGCTCATTGATAGTTGATTGCATGTAATTGACGTAATTTGCAAAAGCAGTACCTAATTTGTCATTTAATTTTATTAAGTGTATGTTATTATTATTATTTTTGTTTTCTAAGGTTTTCCCCATTAATTTTTTATTATTTTTCTTTACATTTTAAAGATTTGACATTTTTATTTAAGTAATTCATTATTGTCAAATAAAATCGGGACATTTTGTATGAATTACAAAATTGACATTCCTAATTATACAATGCAAATTGTAAGTTTGACGTTAATTAATTATTGTTTATTGTGTCATTTTTGTAATTAGGCTTAATTTACACAAAATGTCCCGTTTTTTTTTGACAGAATCTGGTAACCCTGCCATAATACAATTTTTTAAATAGTCAGTACCTACCCATAAGCCAAAAGAGTGAAACTACTAACACATACATTTTTTCAAGTCTTACATTTGGACCATAAGGGGTGCGTAGTAAAACTTAACTTACAATATACTGGGTGATCTAAAACTTATGTGCCATATTTATAGATCAAAAAAACCTTCTGTCAAACAAAAGTTATGCAGGTGCATTCTTCAGAAGAAGAAGAATTGTAGATCACCCTGTACACCAAACAGCTGTAGTACTACAGGGTGGCGAAAAATAAACGTTATTCAAGGTATAAGTTGATTTCGCCACACTGTAGCAGTAGTAAAAGTATTGTTAGCATCGTAAATAAATAAGTAAGAAATAAATGTACGAACAAGAAATGTTGAAAGAGCAAAAATAGTAAATCGGGACCAATGTCCTACTGTAGCTGTGATGTTACCAGATCAAAGAACTTTATCACCAGATCTGAGCATCGCGAGGGTTGGAACCAGGATCATGGACGAGCTGGTGAAGCCCATGACCGAAGTCCAGATAGACGACACAGAGTTTGCGTGCCTCAAAGCTATAGTCTTCTTCGACCCAAGTAAGTTGTTCAATTTAACACATTTTTTCCATGCTTCATGACCTTCTAAGTACACGGGCTGAAGTTAGCTTTATAGGTTAATTGACAGTTGTCAAATGTCATACAATTGTTAAAATAACGTGAATTTCTTGTAAAATAATACTTAGGGTATGTTCCGTAAATACACACGAGTTACCGGTCTGGTTACTGAAATAAATTCCTGGATTTCTCGGTTAGTTCATATTTACGGGACACCTTTATTTAAAAAAACATAACCCAACTTACAACTACAACTTGCATATATTTTTAATAATATTTCTATAGTTACATAAACAAACCTAAAACACCCTATATACTGAATTCAATTATTTTTTGACAAAACGTATTTTGTATGCGAAGTCTGCTCCTGTGTTAAATTTTTAGGTTAGATAACCAACAAAAAACAGTAATTTTGTTTAGGGCAACACTGTTTCCATTTGGTTTGCAGCACTGGTAACCGATTTAACCGATCATACAGCGTCGGTCGTTTCGGTAACGATTGGTTAACCTATTTTTCAGGAACCGCGTTTCTTAACTACATAATTTTCAGGAATTTTTCATTTACGGGACACCTTAACCGAAACCAAACCAACCAAGTTGATTTACGGAACATACCCTTAATGTGAAAATTATTTTATTATCTCAATACAAAAGTATTAAATAGTTTCTCAACGCCAATATTTGAAAAGTTTATATGAACATTGTACTGACTTTTTAATTTTGCCGGCAGTAAATTATAACTTAAATTCGGGTACGGACTCTACTGTAAAGTCCTCATAAAACATTTTCTTTGCTTTTACTCTGAAAAACTGGCAATTTTCAAGAAATACATTTCGATTTATAACCTTTAAAATTTGTGTTAATAAAATATAAAAATGTGACATTCGACGGTGACACACAGATTCCCCTATTGTTTTATAGATGGCGCTCTATACAAATTTTTGATTTAAATCATTTTAAGATAATAATAAGTATTTGTCGTATAAAAAGTATAGTATGCACCTCATTTATAAACTTTTCTATACACTCATTAATTTAATTTAAATTTAATTTAATTTAAATTCGTGTATAAAATGGCGTTTATCAAACTTGATACATAATATACTATTTTCCATGTTTCATGACCTTTTAAGTACATGGGCTGAAGTTAGCTTTATAGGTTAATTGACAGTTGTCAAATGTAAATTCTTGTAAAATAATACTAAATGTAAAAATTATTTTATTAATAATTATGTCAATACAAAAATACAAAAGTCAGGGTTGACATATGAATTAAGTCATTGATTTAATTCGCGAATTCATTCAAATGCCTTTTTTGTAAAAGTCACGAATTAATTCAATTTTTTTACAATGGGAACAAATTGTATTATCAACTTTTGTCGAGGGTTGAATAAGTAATGCTCCGTTTTTAATCGCAATTGTGGATAATTAATGACATTCATTTCTCCCACTGTGAACAATATTATTCCTTCCCCTGTAGGTAAAGGTTTTTTTGCGGTACCCAAATTGTGTATTTTTAAGCATTTATAGAGTTTAGCTTAAATAACTTTAAGTAGGTAAGCATACCAAATTAATTGGAACGACTTTAGAAATGGACGGCTTTCTGCAGAATGGGACCAACCCACACCATGATGAAACTGAGAAAAAAGCTATCAAAGATTTTAATAATTTTAAAATTACCTGTTAATTTTATACCGATTTTGGACTAACGGAGGTTTAAGGGATATAATTTAATAATTTCATCAGGTGGATTTTGTGATGTTATGTGTAAGGGTGACGAAAAAAATGGGCTTTTGTTGGTTGGTTCCTTTCTGCAATTTATGAAAACTACTATCTGATGTATGTATGTATTTAAAGAAAAGCGACAATTATTTATTTCCAAACAAAATACAACTGATATTACTATTATAATGGTAATATGAATTAATTTTGATTCTATTTGAAATTCGTCCACATCATCTTCCAACCCCACCTCATCTTGTAAGCTACCAAAAAAATGCATCAAGACAGGAAATCTTTAAAGACTTTGGTAGTGGGTCTACCAGCCTGCTTTTTTACAAAAAAGATCCAACCCACTTGCAGATATTCTACAGATTCTAATTCTGGATTAGTAATCCACACTATTATTGAATGTTGGTTGGTTCAATGATAAATAGATTTCACTACACTTGCATTTTGGCTATGACCTATTTTGCAGATAAATTATACATACTTAATTAGTTCATAGGCTAAATATCTCGATTTTTTTGGTTTTGTGGGTTGGTTCCTTTCTGCAGAAAGGCGTCCAAATGTGAACGTTACTTTTTTTAACTTTCTAAAAATTAATTAATAATTAGCACCTCTTGACAACAAAATATATTGTCAACCGAGCGTGGAATCATAGCAATTACTCCCTCAACGAATTCCTTCACTCGTCTGTCGTCTGTAGAGTAATTGCTACGATTCCACGATCGGTATTATCTTAAAATGAAATACCCAGTCAACATTTTACTATTTGAATTAGTAATAGCATTAATGCTTACTAAAAAAAATAATCCTATTCACTTTTAAATAGTTAATTTTTACTACTTAAATAGTTTGACTTTTTTAAGATAAGACTCGACGGTTTTTATCTAACATGGTTAAATGGCCCATAAAAATAAAAAAAGAAGCAAAAAGTTTAGCTCAAAATAGCAACACAAAAGTAGGGGTTTTATTTTTAATTATTTTGCATGAAACTATTTTCCAAAAAGAAAGATCAAATAAAAAACTTACTGAGCATAGTTTGACAGATTAAATTTATAGGTTGAGTGATATACATCTAGATTATTTCTCGAATTAAAGGAAACTATTTGACAATTCATAAAATCTGACGTATGTGTCAAAATTTATAAATATTTTTTTAAAGAAAATTCCATTAATTTAAGGTATTTAATAAGTAATAATTGATATTTCGTAAACTAGATAACTTATTTTTTATTGTTTTTTTAAAAATGTTTGTTAAAACTTGTAAATAACACTATAAAATCGTAAACAAAAATCCAATAGGAGGCTAAAATTTAATCGCTGTTAAATAGTTGTAGTGATTTAATCGCTTATTTAAACGAAATTTATTCGAAAATTCAAGGCTTTTGGTTGGTTCATATTATAATGAGGGAAATAATCAAATTAAAATTCACTAATTTGACTATATCATTCGGTAAAATTTGACTATTCGCTATGACAATTAGTAATATATTACTTATAATTGAGTAAATTATATCCAGAAAACTCTTGTGAATAAAATAAATAAGAGAATTGAAAACTTTGTAGATGCCAAAGGTTTGAGCGAGCCCGGCAGGATAAAGGCTCTGAGGTACCAAATTCAGATCAACTTGGAGGACTACATCAGCGACAGGCAGTACGACAGCAGGGGACGGTTCGGGGAACTGTTGCTCACGCTGCCGGCCCTGCAGTCGATCACGTGGCAGATGATCGAGCAAATCCAGTTCGCCAAACTGTTCGGGGTCGCCCACATCGACAGCCTCCTCCAAGAGATGCTCCTCGGAGGTAAGATTGCCTACCCCACATCGTAACGATGTTTTTCTGTCTGTAGTCTTTGTTTCCCTTCTCTAGACACTCGTTTTTATTAAACACTCGCTCGTGCCTCGTAACTAGGGTTGGGAAAATTTCACTTTTTGCTTGTACTTGAAATTTCACTTGAAATTTTCATGACATTTATGAAATTTATTAAAATTTCCTAAATTTCTGAAATTTCATGAAATTTATGAAACTTTCAATAAATTTCAATCACTTTAAGTGTAATATATTAATATTGAAATAAGCCCACTCGGGGACCATGGCAAATTGCCTCTCTTACCTCCTACCCCTCTGTGGGACCCTGCACCAATAATATAAATACTGTCTGTCCACTCTAAGTTGGCTGAACTAAGGAATTTTGTTGTTTAGATATTAAAGAATTGTCGTACTGTGTGCTTTTAAAACAGATTTTATATTATAAATAATACTAGTATATAATATGTACTAGTATTATTTATAATATAAAATCTGTTTTAAAAGCACACAGTACGACAATTCTTTAATATCTAAACTACAAAATTCCTTAGTTCAGCCAACTTAGAGTGGACAGACAGTAGTAAATAGTTTACCACAAATTTCTTGAGATTTCCTTTTAAAATATTTTTAAAATTATTAAGAGATATAGCACTTTTTGGTAAGCTAATGAGATTGTGCCACTTTCATTGTTTTATATTTATATATATTTATTATTTTTAAATATTTTACTGAAATTTTACGAAAATTGAAGAAACTTCATCAAAATTTTATGAGCCAAAGGGATTTTTTATCCGTTTTCCGATGCAATTATATCAAAAGTAAAAGTTTAAATTAATCATGACTTTTAAAGTCTGATTTAATTTACAAATTAAATTGGTAACTGAATTAAATTAATTTATGCATATAAGTAACAATAATTACTTATAGTGTATTCAAATCCAAGCCGAACTAAACAAAAACGCCCAGACGCTTGATAACTCGTTCTTATTGGTCGATTCGGAATCTGTTGTAAATTATTATCAAAGGTCCCAGGGGAGGCCGCATGTGAAATTTATGCGAAATTTTCAGTAAATTGCGAAACTTTCAATGAAATTTCTGAAACTTTCACAGGCAATGTTGAAATTTTCGGATTGAAAATTTCATTTGAAATTTTTAAAAATTTCACTTTTCCAACTAAATGAAATATTTCAAGTTTGAAACTTTCAAAGTTGAAATTTTTATTTGAAAATTTCAACTGTCCCAACCCTACTCGTAACTAAAATAGCGGTAACAAAACTTGTTACATAATATTCTATTTATTTTTCTTTTTATTTATTTGCTTGTTTGTATATTTTTTTATTAAGTGTCAATTAAAGTATTGCAATTAAAATGCGCATCAACCGTATTTAGAGGTTAACTACTTTTTTCTTATATTTTGAAGGTTTTATTCCGAGTAATTATTATAATATTAATTAATCGACTGACAATTGGCATAATAAGGTACTTATTTTTTCCAACGAGAAATAAACAATAAATTGACATTTTCAATACCATGAAAAAAACATATTTTACACATCTCGGCCCAAAATTTTCAGATTAAATCAAAATTGCAAATTAACCATGGACAGTAATTTAGTAATCATTTAAATTGTAAACATTTCAATTCAGAAAAAATCATAAAACAAATAAGTCGTCTAAATTCAAACAGCATTTAACGGTAGAATCGGTATTATATTATGTATTAAATATAATATTATGTTGCCATGAATTCGTAGGTATTTTTGTTGTTTAAAATGCATTAGTCGGCGTTTTTTAGAGAACTCAAACATAAAAATGGTTGATTTTAAGGTTATGTTTGTGCAAAATTATTTTTTACTAATTTCTTAAAATGTCCAAACTTGAATATAAATTATATTAGGTAAAGTTATCATTAGTTAATTCTGCACCAACAAATATACGTACCGAAAAAACATGAAAATGGAGCGATTTAGTTCTTGAATTTTATTTACAAAATGGTGGATTTATGCAGCCAACATTAACATTAAGTTAACATTAACATTAAGCTAATTTAAGGTGGGTATTTTATGCAGCAAAATTAGTGGCAAATTGTTTAAATTTGTTTATTTTTAATTATATATAATACTTTTGTATTTTATTGTAATGTTTTTTGAATATAGCAAGGTTGCTAAATAAACGATTATTATTATTATTAACCGTGCGTATAATGCCTATAATTTTGATATCTGACATTTTTGGTTTGTTTGGATTTTGTTTTAACCCCATTGGATGATTTCTGTAAATTTTCCAAAGATTTTTAAGGATTTTCTGTACATTTTTTAAAAACAATAAAAATAATAACAATTTTAAAGATATTTAATCATTTATTAAAAATTTCGATAATTTCTGTAAATTTTCCAATGAGTTTAAAGGTCTCCAAAGATTTTTAAGGATTTCAATACATTTTTTTAAATTTTTAACGAGTTTTAAAAATGTCGATAGATTTTGAAGATTTCTAAGATATTATAAAAAAATTTGATAAATTCTGTAATTTTTTTTAATTTTTAAATTTTGATACCTTTTAAAGATTTTTAGGGAATTATAAAAAGTTTTCATTATTTTTGTAAATTTTCCAAGGAGTTCAAAGGGTTCCTAAGAATTTAGAAAATTTTTGTATATTTTCTTTAATTTTTAAGGAGTTTTAAAAATTGTAATACCTTTTGAAAATTTTTAAGATATTATAAAAAGTAGTTGATTTCTATTAATTTTCCAAAGAACTCCAAAGATTTTTGAAGATTTCTGTAATTTTTTTTGGTTTTGAAGGAGTTTTAAAAATTGTAACACATTTTGAAGATTTCTAAGGAATTATAAAAAGTTAAGATGATTTCTGTAAATTTTCTGTTTAAGGGTTTAAAGGAATTTAAAAAAGTTTGGATGATTTCTGTAAATTTTTTAAAAATTATAAAAATGTTGTTGATTTCTGTAATTTTCAAAGGTATTTAAAGGGTTCCAAAGACTTTAAAAGATATTCAAGAAATTATAAAAAAATTTATGATTTGTAGGAGTTTAAAGATTTTTGAAGATTTCTAGGAAATTATAAAAAATGTCAATGATTTCTATAAATTTCCAAGGAGTTTAAAGAAGTTTTAAATTTTTATAATACATTTTAAAGATATTTTGATAATTTCTGTAAATTTTTCAAGGAGTTTAAAGGGTTTCAATAATTTTTGAATATTTCTTTATTTTATTTTTTATTTAAAAAAAATATTTTGAAGATTTATAGGGAATTATAAAAAAAACTTTGATGATTTGTAAATATCCAAGAAGTTTAACAAACAAAGAGTTTTGTACTATGCTTCACACCTCAAAGTCCCACCATGTGACCAAGTACAGAACGCAGTCTTTTGAAAATTTGACATTTAAGGCTTTTTAGGTTATGTATCTGTCAAAGTATAGTCAACGAAAGAAATAATATTATGTTTAGGCGTTAAAAACGTATAAATCTTTTTATCATTACAATAACAATGGATGGTTTAAAAATTTAAGAATATAAATACTGCATTTAATGAAATTCTAAAGTGGTGCGAAATAAGTAATATTTTTGTGCATTTGGTCCAAATATCTGGTTTTCTCCATAAAATTATTTTAACTAAACAGCATTTATTTAAAAAAAATCTAGCTTCTCTATTATGGAATAAGAATATCTGTTTTAAAGGTAGGTTAATATATTATAACAAAAATATCATCTAATTTTGTAATTTTAAGGTTAGAAAAATTTATTTTGACCAAAATAAATAAGTATTTTGGATTATTTAAAAGACTGTATAATATGGTATTTAAAAATGTGGTAGTTTTTCTTATCCAGCTTAAAGTTTACCTACATAAAGTTTTGTCAATACAAATAGTTAAAAAGCTTCGACCGAACTTGATCTACATCGAAAAATCATTATAACTTTAAAAATTTTAATAAATCACAGGTCATGAGAGTATTAAATATTTTCACATTTCAAGTTTCTCTAAAAATTGTTTGTTTTCTTATGATCTAACTTAAAGTAGGTATGCCGAGAGGTATGCACAAGTTTTGTCATTAGAAGTATAAAAGCTTCAATTTAATTTGAACCATATTCAAAAATTATTTAGTGTACCTATATTTATTTATGACCATATTAACACACTCTTCCAAATAATCCACTTATTTATTTTGGCCAAAATAGATTTTTCTAACATTAAAATACAAAATTAGATGATATTTTTTGTTCTAATACATTAACCTACCTTTGATACAGATATTCTTATTTCATAATAGAGAAGTTATATTTTTTTTAATAAATGCTGTTTAGTTAAAACTATTTTATGGAGAAATGTAGACCCAATGCACAAAAATATTACTTATATTGCACCTTACACTTTAAATGCAGTATTCATATTCCTAAATTCTTAAACCAACTATTGTTATTGTGATACCTACTATACTAAGATTTATTAACGCTTAAACATAAGCGGTAACACTATAAATATAATTTCTTTCCTTGACTATACTCTGACAGATACATAACCTGAAAAGCCTTAAATGCCAAATTTTCAAAAGACTGCGTTCCGTACGTGGTCACGTGGACTTTGAGGTGTGGAGCATAGAACATTTTTTAAAATGGATAAAAAACTATAAACTGCACGTCAAACAATAATCCAAAGAACATGATCATTGAAATAAAAATGAATCATTCAGCAGCACGTTTCATTTTATTTTAGGGTATATTTAAAAATTGCGCCGTAAACCTGCGCAGGAGCAATAAAAATTCACATTATCATTAAGAAGATAAAAGTTGAGGTTAAAGTTTTTTTTTAGAAGAGCTTTATTTCTGACCCTTAAACAGTTAAAAGAAAACTGGCACTAGGGCCTAATGCTAAATTAAATACAAATCACTCTATGAGACTATGGCATATTAACATACTTTAATAAAATATATTATATAATAAAATAAAAAAAAATATTATTTAAAACGTTTATCTCTAACCACTTGTTTAAGTTCTTTACACATTCCTTTGTAGTTCTTAATGTTTTTTATGTTTTCGGGTATTTGATTGTAGACTTGAATGCTGCTATAAAGTGGAGATTGCGTTTCTAAATAAGTTTCTATTTCTAGTTTCATATTTATGGCAGTCTTTGCTTTGAATTTTGGTTTTAGGTTAGTTTTAATTGTATTTTGTTGTATACAATTCACAAATTTTATTTGTTCATATGCCTTTAGCTGTTCAATGTTTAGAATATTTGTTTGTTTATATAAGGTTTCACTTGATGTCAGATGTTCAAAAGAATAGATTTGTTTAATTGTTTTATTTTGCATTCTTTGCATTTTTTCAAGCATGTATTTTGGCGCATTTCCCCAACAAACTAGTTAATGTTAATGTGTGCATAAAAGCTTCCAATGGATTAGTTCATTTAACTTCTTGATGATAATGTTAATTTGTGCTGCATAAATCCATCACCACCAGATGGCGTTACTTGTTAAAACAAATTCGTTGCTCTCCCTACTTTTTCTACGTTAATTTCACGCCTTTGGCAATCGCCTTTCGCTGCCCTTATCCGGAATGCAACTAAGTAAAGTGCAGAACCGATTCTAGGCACCAGCGTGGAGACGAACCCGGCACTGGTGGTCCCTGCGGGCGCCCAGGCGTCCTACGCCAGCGCCTCGGACTCGGCCGACTCGCCCATCACGTCGCCCATGACCGCGCCCAGCAGCCCCACCGATCACATGCTGAACGGCAACGTGGCGGCGGGCAGCCCGCCCACCTCCACCGCCACCAGCGTGATGATCATGAGCGAGATTACTAATCTCGACGACCCGCCCTACTCCATGGACTTCAAGCAGGAGCCCCTGCACGAGGAGCACACCTACTAAACAATCTTGACGAGTGACAGCTGTCACTTTTGACACTAGTGCCAACCCTGTTGCTTCAAAATCGGGTGTTTGTTCCATATCGACAAAGTAAACAATTTTATTATTGTATTTTCGTATTTTTATATATCGCAATCATATTGATTGAAAGTTGTCAAATTACAATATATTTTATTGTAAATTGTAGGGGGATTTTTAAGGAAATTTCAAGATTTGTTTTTCATTTCATTATGTGCAGAACAAATCTTAAACCTCCCACTTTTCCCCAGTGTTATGGTTAGTAGACTGGGCCAAAAAAATCAACTTTTTTTTTTTTGAAAACTATCGAAAATATGGTTTGGGGTGACAAAAAAAATATTCTGAAAGTTTGAGTCCATAATATTAATATTTAGAGGTTTTTTTTTCCTCAGCAAGTTTTTGTCTCAGAACTCCCAAACAATTGACTTAAGAAAATTAAATGCTCTACAAGAAAGGTTAAAGTGAAATTTTCCGTCAGATGAACCGTTTCCTTAAAATCATGCCTTAAAAATTGGTATAGTTTTACATTTTGATCTTTTAAATTGGAATTTTGTAATTCATGTAAAAATCAGTACCCATTAAAAACCGATAAATATTCTTATGGGAAATCAAATGCCTTACAAAAAAGCCTCTCAACATTTTTGGCTAAATTCACTCAATCAAAAGTTATTCAAGGTTAAAATTTGGTGTTGACTTCAAATTTAACCTTGAATAACTTTTGATGGAGTGAATTTAGCCAAAAACGATAAAAAACTTTTTGTAGAGCATTTGATTTCCCATAAGAATATTTATCGTTTTTTTCCGGGAACTGATTTTTACATGAATTAGAAAATTCCAAAGTTAAAAGAATTGTAAAACTACAAATTTTTAAGGCATGATTGTAAGAAAAAGGTTCATCTGACGGGAAATTCCAATCAAACCTTTTTTGTAGAGCATTCAATTTTCTTCAAAAAATATTTTAAGTCAAATTGAAAACTCAATGGTTTGGGAGTTCTGAGACAAAAACTCACTCAGGAAAAAAAAATCTAAAATTGCGATGATAGACCTCTTAATATTAATATTATGGACTCAAACTTTCACCATAATTTTTTTTGTCACCCCAAACAATATTTTCGATATACCTACTTTACAAAAAAAATAGTCGATTTTTTTGGCCCAGTCTAATGGTTAGGGTAATGTTTTATTAATTAATTAAAAATAATTTAGTAAGATAAACATCACATTTTAAATTAATTTTTTCAAGATACTGGATAAATGCAGACAAATTAAAATGACTGAATTTTTCTACAAACAATTTATAAAATATTAAACATTTTATCCAGTAGTAGGTACACCAAAAAAATCAATGGCCTCTAAAAATGAACAAACATTAGTCAATTTCATATATTCTAATGGTTAATTTAAATGTGCTTATTATGGCTGTGAAATTTTCCCTATTAACAAGTAAAATTTATTATTAATTACTATTAAATTTTGATATTCAGTAATTATTAAAAAAAATTGCTCAATCTAATGTTGTATATTTTAAAATGACAAATGTTTTCTTGTATGTAATATTATTTATGTGTGTTTTTATCTTCTAAATTTTACACCAATTGGCCATATTCCCAAAATGTATTAAATTATGATTTGTCATAATTTTGCAATATATTGTTAATAAAATTTTCTTTATTATGTATTAAATAATTAAAATTAGTTATGATTAAAATTGTTATGTACAGTATGAAAATTAGTTCTTAGTTAATTTTGGCAATTTGTTATTTACCTTTAAACTATTTCTTACTCTAATTTACTATTTAGGTGATGTTTCTTAAAAGGCTGGAGGTGGCAATATTATCTTTATATATAGAATATACATTTTTAATGTTAATTAATACAAAGTTGTTTTATTTAACCCTTTTATTAAAAAAAATAAATTCAACTTATTTATTAAAATTCCCTGATTCATCCAAATCAACCCTTTTCCTTTTCTTGTGGTTAACTACCATATTAGCAGCCTCCATGGTGGACGATGTTACCCATAACCAATCGTTAAGTTTACCTTTAGCCTTGTGGCCATCTTCAAAAATCCTTCTCTCCAAAAAATCCAACTTCTGCTGAACCGTCGGATCAGAGATGGAGTTGTCAGCTAAATCCATAATGTGCCGAAAGCGGGTTTTAAATGTCTACAAGATATGATTAATATTTTAAGATTAAAAACAAAACACCTCTTACATGCAGCAGGACATCTTGCACCTCTCCCTTGGCATCGAAACTCTTGGCGTAAGAGCCCAACTCGTAAAAATACAAATTAAATTTGTGTAAATCCACCGCTGAAGCGTCAGCTTTGAGTATCTCTCGATACGCTTCCCTGTATATTTTGGGAAGATCGGGATTGACTATGGGCTGTCTTCCTGCAGCCATTTCCGTTACCAGCCACATTGGCAGCTCCAGATCTGTTCCCGCTTTTAAGTCTACTTCTTCTGCTGACGGATTTAAAACACCTGTCGAACGATAAGTTAGATCAGATTGATAGGTGTTTAGAATGTATTTTACCCATTTTTGGAACGTTCACAGCAAATTTGCATGGTGCTCTCTCTTGCGTCGCCAAAATGTCGTCCAACGAAAAATAATTTGGCGAATAGGCGGCCGGTAGAGGCATTTTAATGCAATTCAAACCGTTTTAAATTCAAATTAGTAACATAACCTCAATAATGTTCATTTGAACTACTACCAGAGATAGACTACTACTTATATATTTTGCAGATTTGTTTGTAAATAATATTAGTATTTTTTATCAACGATAAGAAAAAGAATACACATATTATATTATTTAATATATAATTTATAATATATATACTTTGATAACATCATCGAAATAAATAAGCTAGTTGTAACAGCGGTTGCATAGAAATAAATCACATTCAGGGAGGTTATTTTGTTTTATTGCCTTCCATTGTTTAAAACTTGGAGGGAAAAACTAATTTCGTTCTTCCATTTTTTTAAATTTATCTCAATGTGCGAATTTGTCCTTTTGCTTTTTAAATTTTTCCCAATGTGCGAATTTGTCCTTTTGTTTTTTAAATTTACCCCAATGTGCGAATTTTTCCAACCATATATTAAATTTGTCCCACTGTGCGAATTTTTCCTTTCGTTTTTTAAATTTTTCCCACTGTGCGAATTTTTCCTTTCGTTTTTAAAATTTTTCCCACTATGCGAATTTTTCCTTTCGTTTTTAAAATTTATCCCACTGTGCAAATTTTTCCATCCATTTTTAAATTTACCCCAATGTGCGAATTTGTCCTCCTATTTTTTAAATTTTGCCCACTGTGCGAATTTGCACATTGGGACAAATTTAAAAAATGGTTGGAAAAATTCGCACATTGGGGTAAATTTAAAAACCGAAAGGACAAATTCGCACCGTGGGATAAATTTAAAAAATAGGAGGACAAATTCGCACAGTGGGATGAATTTAAAAATTAGGAGGACAAATTTGCACAGTGGGATAAATTTAAAATTTAGGAGGACAAATTTGCACAGTGGGATAAATTTAAAAATTAGATGGACAAATTTGCACAGTGGGATAAATTTAAAATTTAGGAGGACAAATTTGCACAGTGGGATAAATTTAAAATTTAGGAGGACAAATTCGCACAGTGGGAAAATTTTAAAATTTAGGAGGACAAATTTGCACAGTGGGATAAATTTAAAATTTAGGAGGACAAATTTGCACAGTGGAATAAATTTAAAATTTAGGAGGACAAATTTGCACAGTGGGATAAATTTAAAATTTAGGAGGACAAATTTGCACAGTGGGATAAATTTAAAAATTAGGAGGACAAATTCGCACAGTGGGATAAATTTAAAATTTAGGAGGACAAATTTGCACAGTGGGATAAATTTAAAAATTAGGAGGACAAATTTGCACAGTGGGATAAATTTAAAAATTAGGAGGACAAATTCGCACAGTGGGATAAATTTAAAAATTAGGAGGACAAATTTGCACAGTGGGATAAATTTAAAAATTAGGAGGACAAATTCGCACAGTGGGATAAATTAAAAATTTAGGAGGACAAATTTGCACAGTGGGATAAATTTAAAATTCAGGAGGACAAATTCGCACAGTGGGATAAATTTAAAATTTAGGAGGACAAATTCGCACAGTGGGATAAATTTAAAATTTAGGAGGACAAATTTGCACAGTGGGATAAATTTAAAATTTAGGAGGACAAATTTGCACAGTGGGATAAATTTAAAATTTAGGAGGACAAATTCGCACAGTGGGATAAATTTAAAATTTAGGAGGACAAATTCACACAGTGGGGAAAAACATTTTTGAACCAGTATCAGTATTATGCATGCCCACTCATATGTTAGGTGAAGTTACAGTCAAGTGGGTGGAGGCAATACAAACAAAACTCCCCATGTGCATAGGGGGGGCCATATTCGGGGCAGGAAGATTAAAACCCAAGCACAGGAAATTATACACTGAAAAATATCTGCCCTGGGCTATACAGACTGGTAAAAATATGGATTTCCTACTAAATATTTATTTTGAGAAAAGGTGGGAGCAAAATGTGCAAAAATTGTGTCAAGAAATTAACATGGTGCCTTTAAAATTAGAGGAATAGAGTGTATTTATTGAAATATATGTTATATTTATTGAAAATGTGTTTTTTTGTTGTTAATGTGACAAATATACATACATCTTAGCTTTGTTTTTGTGTAGGTATTGTATGGCAAAAAACAATTAAATTAGGCGTGGTTTAAAAATTATGTCATGCAGTGTAGGACATTTGAACTACTCGATGTCATGTACACTGAGTGACAATATTTTTGAATTTTTTAAAAATTTAGTTTTCATGTTTTCTGTAAATTTAACGTTTGGCTACCGGATAACAGATGGCGCTGTTCAAAGGACAAATTCGCACAGTGGGATAAATTTAAAATTTAGGAGGACAAATTTGCACAGTGGGATAAATTTAAAATTTAGGAGGACAAATTTGCACAGTGGGATAAATTTAAAATTTAGGAGGACAAATTTGCACAGTGGGATAAATTTAAAAATTAGGAGGACACATTTGCACAGTGGGATAAATTTAAAAATTAGGAGGACAAATTCGCACAGTGGGATAAATTTAAAACTTAGAGAAGACAAATTCGCACAGTGGGATAAATTTAAAATTTAGGACAAATTCGCACAGTGGGATAAATTTAAAAATTAGGAGGACACATTTGCACAGTGGGATAAATTTAAAATTTAGGAGGACAAATTTGCACAGTGGGATAAATTTAAAAATTAGGAGGACAAATTCGCACAGTGGGATAAATTTAAAATTTAGGAGGACAAATTTGCACAGTGGGATAAATTTAAAATTTAGGAGGACAAATTTGCACAGTGGGATAAATTTAAAAATTAGGAGGACAAATTTGCACAGTGGGATAAATTTAAAAATTAGGAGGACAAATTCGCACAGTGGGATAAATTTCAAATTTAGGAGGACAAATTCGCACAGTGGGATAAATTTAAAATTTAGGAGGACAAATTCGCAGTGGAAAAAATTTAAAATTTAGGAGGACAAATTTGCACAGTGGGATAAATTTAAAAATTAGGAGGACAAATTTGCACAGTGGGATAAATTTAAAATTCAGGAGGACAAATTCGCACAGTGGGATAAATTTAAAATTTAGGAGGACAAATTCGCACAGTGGGATAAATTTAAAATTTAGGAGGACAAATTCGCAGTGGGAAAAATTTAAAATTTAGGAGGACAAATTTGCACAGTGGGATAAATTTAAAATTTAGGAGGACAAATTCGCACAGTGGGGAAAAACATTTTTGAACCAGTATCAGTATTATGCATGCCCACTCATATGTTAGGTGAAGTTACAGTCAAGTGGGTGGAGGCAATACAAACAAAACTCCCCATGTGCATAGGGGGGGCCATATTCGGGGCAGGAAGATTAAAACCCAAGCACAGGAAATTATACACTGAAAAATATCTGCCCTGGGCTATACAGACTGGTAAAAATATGGATTTCCTACTAAATATTTATTTTGAGAAAAGGTGGGAGCAAAATGTGCAAAAATTGTGTCAAGAAATTAACATGGTGCCTTTAAAATTAGAGGAATAGAGTGTATTTATTGAAATATATGTTATATTTATTGAAAATGTGTTTTTTTGTTGTTAATGTGACAAATATACATCTTAGCTTTGTTTTTGTGTAGGTATTGTATGGCAAAAAACAATTAAATTAGGCGTGGTTTAAAAATTATGTCATGCAGTGTAGGACATTTGAACTACTCGATGTCTGTACACTGAGTGACAATATTTTTGAATTTTTTAAAAATTTAGTTTTCATGTTTTCTGTAAATTTAACGTTTGGCTACCGGATAACAGATGGCGCTGTTCAAAGAACAAATTCGCACAGTGGGATAAATTTAAAATTTAGGAGGACAAATTTGCACAGTGGGATAAATTTAAAATTTAGGAGGACAAATTTGCACAGTGGGATAAATTTAAAAATTAGGAGGACACATTTGCACAGTGGGATAAATTTAAAAATTAGGAGGACAAATTTGCACAGTGGGATAAATTTAAAATTTAGGACAAATTCGCACAGTGGGATAAATTTAAAAATTAGGAGGACACATTTGCACAGTGGGATAAATTTAAAATTTAGGAGGACAAATTTGCACAGTGGGATAAATTTAAAATTTAGGAGGACAAATTTGCACAGTGGGATAAATTTAAAATTTAGGAGGACAAATTTGCACAGTGGGATAAATTTAAAATTTAGGAGGATAAATTTGCACAGTGGGATAAATTTAAAAATTAGGAGGACAAATTTGCACAGTGGGATAAATTTAAAAATTAGGAGGACAAATTTGCACAGTGGGATAAATTTAAAAATTAGGAGGACAAATTCGCACAGTGGGATAAATTTAAAATTTAGGAGGACAAATTTGCAGTGGGATAAATTTAAAATTTAGGAGGACAAATTCGCACAGTGGGATAAATTTAAAATTTAGGACAAATTCGCACAGTGGGACAAATTTAAAACTTAGGAGGACAAATTCGCACAGTGGGATAAATTTAAAATTTAGGAGGACAAATTCGCACAGTGGGACAAATTTAAAACTTGGGAGGACAAATTTGCACAGTGGGATAAATTTAAAAATTAGGACAAATTCGCACAGTGGGATAAATTTAAAAATTAGGAGGACAAATTTGCACAGTGGGATAAATTTAAAAATTAGGAGAACAAATTCGCAGTGGGAAGAATTTAAAACTTAGGAGGACAAATTTGCACAGTGGGATGAATTTAAAAATTAGGAGGACAAATTTGCAGTGGGATAAATTTAAAAATTAGAAGGACAAATTTGCACAGTGGGATAAATTTAAAAATAAGGAGGACAAATTCGCAGTGGGATGAATTTAAAAATTAGGAGGACAAATTCGCACAGTGGGATGAATTTAAAAATTAGGAGGACAAATTCGCACAGTGGGATAAATTTAAAAAATAGGTGGCAAATTCGCAGTGAGCCAAATTTAATTTAAAAAACGAAAGGACAAATTCTCACGGTGGAAAAAAATTAATAAATGGGAGGAAAAAATCGCACAGTGGGATAAATTTAAAAAATTGGAGGACAAATTCGCAGTGGGACAAATTTAAAAAATGGTGGGGGAAATTCGCACATTGGGGTAAATTTAAAAAAAGAAAGGACAAATTAGCAGTGGGATCAATTTAAAAAATCGGAGGGCAAATTCGCAGTGGGACAAATTTAAAATATGGTTGGAAAAATTCGCACGGGGGGATAAATTTAATAAAAGGTAGGAAAAAACGCACAGTGGGATAAATTTAAAAAACAAAAAGACAATTTCGCACATTAATATAAATTTAAAAAAACAAAAGGATAAATTTAAAAAACGAAAGTGTGATAAATACGCAGTGCGATAGATTTAAAAAAAGGTAGGAAAAATTCGCGGTGGGATAAATTTAAAAAATGAAAAAAATTTGCACAGCGGGACAAATTTAAAAATTGTGAGTAAACACCACAAGTTATAAAATTAATATTTTAAATTATTATTTTTATTGTGCTTATAACTTATTAAAAGCGTAATAAAACAATATTTTTAAATAAATTTTATAACTTGTAGTTTTTACTCACAATTTTTAATTGTGACGGGCGGGACAAAAATCCCCGAGTAACGCGGAATGACCCTGGGTCAAATACGCACAGTGCGATAAATTTAAAAAATGGGACAAATTTAAAAAATGGTTGGCAAAATTCGCAGTGGGATAAATTTAAAAAATAGTAGAAAAAATTGCGCCTGCACGTGTGGGTGCACACGTACATAACCTCGTAATTTTTTTATAATATTTTGAGAATAAATCTGCAAAACCACACACAAAGCTATTAAAATGATTAAACATTATTTTAATATTCAATAAAATTCTGTTCAAAGGTCTTAAAATAAAAGTGAGAATCGAAATGGGTAAAATTTATTTATCGTTTTCACATCACAGAGAAACAAACATACAATGAGAGAACAACCTCTGTCGTAATGAATGTTACATTTAATGATATTTATTGGAAAACAAGTTCATCATACTATCGCAGTATCTCATAAATCTTATACTTAATTTTTTTCATTTAAATTCACAACTAAGCAACAATTTACCTTATGCAAGTGCTTATCGTTAAAACAACGTCCCTTGATTTAACAATTGAAATGTCACCCTATACAAAATGTTCCTCTAAAATGATTACATACATGTGGATACATATTTAGATTTAATATTTACACTTTTTTTCTGATAAATGTATGGATGTTCAAGTTTAGATAAAGCTTTGTATATAAATCATGAGACGTCTAAAATATGTTTGTAAACTGTGAAATAATATTAATATTATTATTGTGAAAGCTTGTAGATTGAACAACGTTTTTTTTTTAAATAAAACTCGTTGTGGAATCCATATAACTGTGAGGAGTAAAAGAATTATTTTTCAATTCAATAAATACGATCTACCTAAATATCTGAATGCAAAAATTGTTACAAGAGAGGAAATATTTAGGTTAACACTAAATAAAATGTCCATTTTGGACTACTTTTTTATCTGTGTAGACTTTTATACGTTTATTACATATTAATTACCTAATTAATAATAACGAAATGTAGTAGAAGCTATTGAAAAAAATAAAATTAAAACAATTGTCGTTTGTGTCTTCAATTTATTTATCTTGAAATAAATTATTACAAAAAACTTTCATAATGCCAAAGTTACAATTATTAGAAATAAAGTCTGACTAGAAAACTTATAATGACTCAATAGTATACTACCAAACATTAATTACTTATAAACCTATTTATTTATACACAACATGACTTGATCGCGTTTTCATAACCATAAAAATTAACATAAAAATATACCATTCTTTTATTACAACTATTTTACCGATATTTCTACTATAGTAAAAACAAAACTTTAATTGTAACTAATTTAGTTTCAACTATAGTTTTGGTATGCGTTTTTGTGTGCATTATCAATCAGTCTTATGCAAAAAATATTGAAACTTTTTTTATTGACATCAATGAGCGGTTTTTGAGCTCTCACGTATATTTTTATGTTAATCGGTGCGTTATTAATCAATATGAATAACGAACGACAAGTACTAATATTTTTGTTTTTGCCTATAATGGGTGATTGTATTTTATACAGGGTGATTCACATTAACAATGAATTATTATTGTGAATTGCGTTATTATTATAAATTAAATTACGTGTCGATTTGTTCAAGATATGGCAAAATAAAAATACATAATTGTAAGAGATGAGATACAAAAAGTCTGAGGAATGTACGTATTATTCAAAAATGCATTACGTTACAATGAATTGTCAAAAAAAATGCAACAACTACCCTAGAAAATATTACTGAAGCTACATTTTTTTGAACGGTAAAGCGCCATATATTTATGTACACATTAAATGTATAGTATATTTTTTAATCTATTTCAAGAGATCACCCTAAATTGAATGTCAAGTTGTCGCCAATTCGACGCATTGAATTTAGGGGAACCCCCTTAAAGGTCCATTTTTACCCGATTTAAAACATCCGTAGTTGCATTCATAATATAACAACACTTTTGTTGTTGATGGGAAAAATGCGGTAATGTGCGCAGAAAAGAGAGAAATAGAGAGTGTTGTTATATTGCGACCATCCAAAACGAAGAAAAATAAATACATACAAGTACTTTATAATTAGTTAATTAGAATGTTTATATTATTTGTTAATTATTATAGGTAGGTATAGATCCTTTGCTACTTGAGCTGACTTTAATTTTGTTCCACATTATTTAACACACATGTAGGTACTTACAGTTTTACTTGGTAACTAAAAACTAAAAATATATAATATATAATATAGTTTAATTCATCTTGTTAAAATTTATAAAACATACATAACAATAATTAGAATTGTAAACGAAAAGAAGAAATAAACAAAATTATGTGGGGGGGGGGATAAAAAAATACAAAAGCTAATACGTTAATAAATAAATGCATTGTTACAATGTTGAGTAAGTATTTCTGCGAAAAATGTGCGTTTACATTAAATTGTGCACAACTTATTTTACATTGTAAATTATTTAGACAAAAGTAGATGTCTAGGATTTCAAAGAAATTAAATTTAGGGAAATGGAAGATTTTTTTGAATTTAGTTTATTTAACTAATTAATAAATCGATATTCAACAACAATAAAAAGAACACATTTTCAATGTCTCACTCAACTTTGGTTTATAATAACTATTATTATTATCACTGATAATTTGGGTGGCTGGAAAAAGTGGTGTATTTTTTGAGCCAGCCCAATAATTATAATCGTAATTTTTTGGCTCAACAAAGTACATAATAATACGAATAGTAATAATATATAATAAAAAAATGACTGAAGTGATAGTTGGTGGGTTGGGTTGTACGAATGATGTAAGTTAGTTTAGGTTGTCGAATTGCTCAGTAGAGGCCGCAGTTGCGAAGGTTATTAGCTATGATTACGTCAGTGACGGCGTCGAACACGAACTGGATGTTGTGCGTGTCAGTGGCGCACGTCATGTGGCAGTAGATTTCTTTGGTTGTCGATTTGTTTTTCGCCTCGAATTGCGCCTGGATGTAGGCGGCCGCCTCCCCGTACTCTTGAGCCCCTTAAAATTTAAACAACCAAAATCAGGCCTTTAAACAACAACTCTTTGAAGATAAGCTTTTATAATATATAAATCTCCGACTCCTACTGTCAATTGAGGGCCTTAGAATTAAGAGGGGTATTTCTGGATATTGTATATTAGACTGGGCCAAAAAAATCGACTATTTTTTTTTTTTGAAAGTATATCGAAAATATTGATTGGGGTGACAAAAAAAAATTATGGTGAAAGTTTGAGTCCATAATATCATCGCAATTTTAGATTTTTTTTTCCTCAGCAAGTTTTAGGCTCAGAACTCCCAAATCATTGAGTTTAACAAAATTGACTTAAAAATATTTTTTGAAGAAAATTGAATGCTCTACAAAAAAGGTTTGATTGGAATTTCCCGTCAGATGAGCCCTTTTCTTACAATCATGCCTTAAAAACTGGTATAGTTTTACAATTTGGAATTTTGTAATTCAAGTAAAAATCAGTACCCTGAAAAAAAAACGATAAACATTCTTATGGTAAATCAAATGCTCTACAAAAAGGTCTTTTATCATTTTTGGCTAAATTCCCTCCATCAAAAGTTATTCAAGGTTAAATTTGAAGTCAAAACGAAATTTTAACCATTGAATAAGTTTTGATTGAGTGAATTTCGTTTTTTATGGGTACTGATTTTTACATGAATTACAAAATTCCAATTAAAAAGATCAAAATGTAAAACTATACCAATTTTTAAGGCATGATTTTAAGGAAACGGTCCATCTGACGGAAAATTTCACTTTAACCTTTTTTGTAGAGCATTTAATTTACTTAAAAAAATATTTTCAAGTCAATTTTGTTAAACTCAATGGTTTGGGAGTTCTGAGCCTAAAACTTGCTGAGGAAAAAAAAATTAAAATTGCGATGATATTAATATTAATATTATGGACTCAAACTTTCACAACAATTTTTTTTGTCACCCCAAACCATATTTTCGATATACTTTTCAAAAAAAAAAAAATTGATTTTTTTGGCCCAGTCTATTGTCATTTTTGCACTTATACCCCTTTTATCCCAAGGCCCTCAATTGTAAAGTAGGCATGACATTTTATATATTTATTATCAAATATAAACAGAAGTCTGAAAAAACATCAGAAAATTATTTAAATAAAGTAGAAAAAACATTTTTTAGGCAAAAAATCATTAAGTACTACAGGGTGTTTTAAAAGACATGCGCCATGTCTGGAGATTCGTCATTCAAAAATAAGAAAAAAAGTTTATATAAACGTAGGTCCGGAAATGCTTAGTTTCACGATACAGGGCTTTTTATTTTATCTGTCAAAAACGAGGTAAGATAGGAAAAGAACTGAAGAGATAAAAAAGTTGTTTTTTTAGTGGCATAATCATACAAAAATATAAAAATTACAGAAATAAGTCAGTAGAGTAAATTTTTTTGGCATTAATATTTGTTAAGGTGCCACCTGGGATGCTACTGGACTACAATTTAAATCTAGTTAAAGTAAAATAAGCTCCTTATGAATATAAATAACGTTGCAAAATTAAAAAAAAATCGGGCATACGATATTTAAGATAAAATCGTTTTTTTTTAGAAAACATATCTTGAAAACCAAGCATTTCCGGAACTGTTTTTACCAATCTGACATCTGTCAAAAGGATTTAATCCCACTTTTTTCCAATCTTAACCTATGAAAAAAATGTTAAAAATACTAGAATATAATACAAAAAAGTAGAAAACTTTTATTATATAAAAAATAAAAAATTCCAAATTCAGTAGGAAATCTGAGAAATGTAAAAATCATTTAAAAACATGAAAATTTTGGAACCAAAAATCATACAAAAATTCAAAAAATGCGCAACAGCCGGATTTATCCGAAACTGTTTAAAAAAACAGTTCAAAATTTCAGAATTTTTTAAATTTTGTTTGACATTTTATCTGACAACTGTCAAACTGTGTTAACCTCAGTTTTTACGAATCCGACATCTGTCAAAAGGATTTAACCTCACTTTTTCCCAATATGACATCTGTTAAACTGTTAAACCTTACTTTTTCCTGATCAATGTACCAGTGCAATAAATAACTTAATATGCTGGTGTATAGATAAAAAGTTTTATTTACCGGATTTCTCCGAAATTATTTAAAAAAGTTAATTTTGTTTGGCATTTTATCTGACAACTGTCAAACTGTATTAACCTCAGTTTTTACGAATCCGACATCTGTCAAAAGGATTTAACCTCACTTTTTCCCAATCTGACATCTGTCAAACTGTTTTAACCTTACTTTTTACTGATTGAAAGCACCAGTGCAATAAATAACTTAATACACTGGTGGGAGTGGACAAAAGTGTTATTTACCTGCATACTCGGGGAAGCATATTGTAAGCGGCGATTTCCTAATTTTTTCTTCAAACAAATCTTTCTTGTTGAGGAACAAAATAATGGATGTGTCCGTGAACCATTTGTTGTTGCAGATTGAATCGAACAACTTTAAACTTTCTTGCATTCGATTCTGAAATTAAACAATAAAATTATTAACATAACATTAAAGCAAATAATTGTTTTTATTCACCGTCGTTTCGTCTTCGTGCAAAACTTGATCGTATTCGCTCATCGCCACACAGAAAATAATCGCAGTCACGTCCTCGAAACAATGGATCCATTTCTTTCGCTCCGACCGCTGACCACCGACGTCGAAAAGTCTAAAAAGTTCAATAAATTACTTAGGTACTCACTTACCACAAGAAAACTTACTTGAAGTTGAGGTTTTTAAACGAAAAGTGTACTTCCACGATACCCGTCGTTTTAACTCTAGTCCGCAGAATATCCTGCTCTGTGGGTTGGTATTCTTTCGCTCCCAGTCGGTCCAGGTCATCCAGAAAACTAAAAACAAACTAAATTTAACACAAAATATAACTGTAAGGTTATACCAAATTTTCGAATTTTAGTCACAGTAGGCCAGGATTTTATTTTGTTAAGTTGGTATTTGAGATGAGTAGGTCAAATGTATTGTCTTACTATTTAGCTGAGTCGTTGAGTTGGTACTCGTTGGAACGTCCAAAGCACTCTTGCACGCCCGTGTCGGCCCACAATCGCTTCATGGCCGCCAAAAGTTCCTCCGAAAACGGTTCTGTGTCTTCCATTCTTTGAATTACGTCAAACACCATTTTACCATCGATCTAGAAACAACAACAATCCCGATTCAAATTTGGTGCTCAAGTTGGCTTTGACATTGTCAAACGTCAAAAAACGCAGTAGATCGAATGAACCACGTATGTAAAACCATTGAAAGAAATGTATTTTATGTATGTTAAGTTTTTGTACCATGGTTTTTTAGAAGTTGTATTTGCCATCATAAATAATCATTATATATTAAACCTTAAAGTGGAACGTAAAGCAATAACTCAAGTTTGACAAATGCTAAACAGTAGTTTGTTTGACCTGTTTACGTCAAAAAAATAAATTGGGCTATTTTGTAATTCTGTCCTTCCCGATAAATAATTCAAAGAAAATCTCGTGTTCATAGTTTGCGCAAGAATAAGTAATACCAACAGTAGTTAGGGGACTTGGCTTTCGCGGTTTACGATCTACAGCCTAATTTAATTATTAATAAACGTTGAGACAGTATGGCGCAAAATAAAGCACAATGTGCAGTTGGTTGCCTAACTTCCAAGTTCGTTAAATTTCACAAGATATAAAAGTTCAAAGCTGAGGTAGTGATTTTTGATGACTTGTGTAACGAAGTGGATGGTAATTATTGCGGCGTTGTCTAATGGCAGGACGATCAACAGTTGCAACGATAAATTGCAGTTTAAGCTCTCACGGGCTCCTGCTAAATTCCCTATGCGCTCGGCTCTGCTCGATTGTTATTTTGTTTCTGCTGCTATATTCGCTTCAACAGGTGCACCAACTGCGAACGCTGTTTTTAAGCAGGATAGCAGGAAGAAGAATAAAAATGAAAAGTGGAAATTTAAAGGGGGTTTTAGCGAGAAAAGCAATGAAAATTAGTCTTTTAAAATTTATTACTTTACAAAACAGTTTTATTTATCTTAATAATTTTGACCCCATCTGATTTTCTTTAACATACACATTAACGCTTGTAAATTACAGAAATATAAAGTTTGTGGAAAATGTTGATACATAAAAAACTGCAATTCTATTAAGAAAAACTAACCACGATTTTTTATACAAAAATACACAAATCCACAAGATTTTATTAAAAGGTAAAAGAAGTAGAAATACATATATTTTTGACGCCAAGATCGAAAATAAACGGTCTATAAAGTATATTAGTTCAATATGCAACATAGCTTCTTGAAATAATAAACATTCACCCGAAATTAAATTATTTATGTTTCTAAAAATAAAGGAAATACATTTTTTCTCGTTTCTTGTTCTCGCCAAAGTAAACTTTGTTCGATTAGACGGTTTAAGATTTTTAATTTTCAAACTAATAATTGCTATTTAAATGTTTTTACCTAATTGTAAATACTTTTAATGATGTAGTTATTTACGATAATAAGTAAGGCGTAAATATTTTCGTTTAAACAAATTAATGCTAAATAAAATTTATCAAAATCCTGTGGAAACCGCACAAAACTTTATACCATAAAAAAATAAAAATAATATAAAATCAATACTAGAGCAAAAAAGCATTGCTGAAAATTCATCTTTGGGCATTTTCATAAATAACACTAGTAAACAATAAAAAAAGGTCGGTAATAAAAATAGCTCAGTCCTATAGATTTTGACCTGCTCGACGCAAATCCGGCGCCCAAAAAATTTTCCGAAGTCTCGTTTAGACGATACGGGCAGGACCATGATACAAAGAAAAATTGTTAAATAATAACGATAAAAATTAATAAATAAAAAAGCTCGGTAATGAAAATAGCACAGTCCTATAGATTTTGACCTGCTCGACGCAAATCCGGCGCCCAAAAAATTTTCCGAAGTCTCGTTTAGACGATACGGGCAGGACCATGATACAAAGAAAAATTGTTAAATAATAACGATAAAAATTAGTAAATAAAAAAGGTCGGTAATAAAAATAGCTCAGTCCTATAGATTTTGACCTGCTCGACGCAAATCCGGCGCCCAAAAAATTTTCCAAAGTCTCGTTTAGACGATACGGGCAGCACCATGATACAAAGAAAAAATGTTAAATAATAACGATAAAAATAAGTAAACAAAATAATTTGAAATTGCAAATATGAAGAAAAGATACCAAGGGAAGTGGAATATTTCAATGTTAGCAGATTACTGTTGGACGCTTCTTCGAGAGGAACCAGAGGCTGTGTATAAGAGAAACATTAAAAAAACAGTTATTAGTTTACTTAGTTAGTAGTTTAGTTAGTTATAAGTTAATTACATGTAATATTAGAATAATCGTTTGGTAGTAATTTTTACAATATGTACAGATATGTTGTTCATGGAATGCTGAAATATAAGTTAAAAGTAACGTCATCCTAAAATTTTCAAATGGTGCATCTATGCAATAAATGGTTCCAAAATACTGTGCTCCTATTTTTTATTTACGACTTCAGAAAAAATTTTTAAAAACATTTTGGATCTATTTCAGTCATAAACAATCGAAAAATTCTATTTTTAACCAGGACCTTTTTTTTAAGTTAAAATTTGTTGCCTAGTGTAATTTATCGATGTTATTGTTGAAAAGGAGGAGGATTATTGTTGCATGTCCCCTTTTTTATTTTTAATCCCTTATAAAATCATGTCTGAAAAATGTTTGGTTTCGTTTTATTACGTTGGCAATAACAATTGCGACTTTTGTTAAAAACCAGCCTTCTTGTTGCTTGGATGTGGATTTTACTACTATTTTTTGTTCGGAATCCAAACTTCGGATGTTAATAAAAAAAAGTTAGACAGTAATAACTTTTTTATCACTTTTATAACTTTTACTGCAGTAATCGTAACCGAAAAGTTTTTATTTTATTGTAAAAGTTGAAATTATTTTTGATTTGGTCAATGGCGAAGAATCTCTGTTGGTTACAAACAACTCTTTTCATTTTTGCCTCATTTTTAGAATGAATAAATGAAACCAAACTTAATACTTATACTGCTACAATAAAATAACATAGGCGAGATGTAGTCAATCTCCAATCGGGGTTCAAATTAAATAGCCAAAAAGTAAGCAAACAAAGGCGAGATGCATTATACATCTCGCGTGTGTTAACCAACATTTCGGCTATTTAAACCGAACCCTCGTATTTTTTTCTTTTCTTTTCTTACCTCTCGCTCGTTGTTTCCGTAGCTAATTCCGAGATTTGGCATCGCCCGCAAGATTGCAACCAAAGACTGGATCGTGTTGCTGTACACCACCGGTCGATACTGTTTGAAATCTTCCGACGTGAAACCGCTCTCGTGGATAATTCTGAAAAAATAATTTAAGTTAGAGCCACATGAAAAATCTCGTAATTTATTAAAGCAACAATTAAGAACTAAGATTAAACGATATTTTTTTTTAGTATACAGGGTGTTATGTAATTAATGTTATATATTAAAATGGGTTGTTCCTTAGGGTCCATAAAGAAGCACCTGAAACTTTTTTTTTCTAAATTCCAAAGTCTAAAAATAATTTATAATAACCTTTATCCTACCAAAAAGTACGCCACTGATCGACTAGGAACTTTAGGTTAATCTGGTGGATTTATTATGTTATGGTTGGTAACAACAGTATTTCCAAAATCTTTCAAAAAAGTTGACAAACATTGTTTAAATTTAGCTTAATTACAAAAATGACAAAATTAACCATGCAAATTGTCAATTTGGCGTTTTTATTAATTGTTGGTTATTTCATTTTTGTACTGAAGGTAAATTCAAACAAAATCTGCCAACTTTTATGACAGAATCTAGTGCATTTCTTTTAAATTTTAGGTTATGTTTTCAAATTGTAAATATCTTAACTAAGGGAAGTGCTTTTGGATTTATTTACACAAATTAAATGTTTAAAGTTTAACCTGTGAACTGGTCCCAATTTCATCTGAGTAAACAGAGAAAAAAACTGATGAAAAAATTAATTTTGTGGTTATGGATTTCAAATTTCAAAGGTACTAAATTTTCTAATCATTGCTTAAGCTAATAGCTGGATCAGTAAATAAATACAGAAGGGTATTAGAGCTTTAAGGGCATAAAACTTTTGTATTTATTGAGTTTTTATGTATTTTTTGCAAGAAAAATTTTTAGTAACAATTTTTTACATCTGGCAACGCATAGCTACTTTGTTGGTTGGTATCTATGTACTCACAAAATACAGGTGTGCAGAGATAAACAAGTGTGTAACCAGTGGCGTATCACAAAAAATATAAAAAACTTGCATATTTTTTCTTTTTCTTTGGAAAAATGCTTTTTAAAATATTTTTCCTTTATTCCTTATGTCAAAAGGTATTCAGTATTTTAATATATAACATTAATTACATAACACCCTGTATTTAAAATGTTCTTTGTTTTATAGTAAAATTAAACATTTTTTAATTAATGAATAGGTTTTTCCAAATATAAAATAAAATAAAATAAAATATACTTAATATTATCCAAAAAATGATTTAAATTAAATATTTGTATAAAGCGACATCTAAACGAAAATAAAGTAACAACCCCAATAAACATTCATGAAGTAATTTTCACCATTAACATTGCCCGTTTATATTTTATTTAAACTTAACAATTATTGATACTTATGATATGATTGTTAGGAAAATATTTTATCCTTTAATTTTAAATGGTAAAGGTACAAAAAGTGACAGTTGTATTTATTGGAATTCCCATTAGAATTTCTAACTTAATTAAAATCTCAAATTTTTCTGTGTAAATTAAAATTTATCACAATGACTTTCGCAAAAATGGTGAATGCGCCGGGATCACGAACATTTTTAAAAGGTCATTTAAAAAATTCCAGTTTTAAATGACATTTAAAAGCCAATTAAAATTTTAAAAACATTAATTTAAAGCGTTATACAGTGTGCAAAAAATAGAAAAAAATCTGCTTTAAGATTCTGCGCCTTTATTTATTACTTTTAACAAAAATTTGATGAAACAAAGTTGTTAATCAAATAACACAAAATTTAAATAAAAATTTTTAAATGACAATTACAATATTTAAAATTATTCATTATTCATTGTGTAAACGTTAATATTGTCAACATCTTGTTTATTAGCGTATTTATTTAATACATTTGAATTTTCATTAAATTTTTATTTAGACTTTGTGTTAGTTTGTAAACAACTTTGTTTTATAAAATTGTTGTTAAAAGTAATAAATAAAAGAATATACTTCTCTCTTAAAACATTTTAATATTTTCCTTATTTATTAATACCTTGTACATCTGATCTCAAATATTAAATATAAAACAGGCTAAATAATCGATCCATACAAATTTTCGATGAGTTTCAATCGCAAACAACTTTTTTATTTGATTTCGGATTTAAACGAATATTAAAGAATATTGTAGATACATTAATGGAGAATCGCTCAAATTTTAAAAATTAATAAAAAATACACGTACGTTTATAATATACAGGTTTAAACAAAAAGATGTTTTTTACCATAAGTTTAAGACACTCTGTAGAGTGGCAAAACCGTATATTGTTCTAAATTAAGTTTTAATTATCGAGTCGCATCTATTTTTAACAGTTTTGTTTTTGGTTCACCTCGATATATTTATTTTTGTGGAAAATATGGATTTTTTTAGAAAACATTGCAATTTGCAATATTTTTCCTGTATAAGGAACTAAGGTTGCTATGGTCCATCCATAGCCTATGGAGGATGACAGTGACAGTTTTGTTGAATCATCCCATACTTGGACAAGTCATATACAACTTTCAAAAGCTATCAAATTGTTTTTTGTAAATTAATGTGTTAATTTTGAGGTGTCTTCTTACTTTTAAAAAATTCTCCGACTGATGTTGCCCTTTGTACTTTACTTCTTGTGACGTTTAAAACACTTGCCACGTAATACTGTGACCGTCCATCCTGGATTAAGTTAATGGCTCTGGCAACATCAGTCGGAGACATATCCATTTTTTAAAGTAAGAAGACACCTCAAAATTTAAACTTTAATTTGCAAAAAACAATTTGATAGCTTTTGAAAGCCGTGTATGACTTGTATATTGTAGTATGTATGATTCAACAAAACTGTCTCCATAGCCTATGGATGGACCATAGTAACCTTAGTTCTTCATACAGAAAAATATTGGAAATTGCAATGTTTTTTTTAAAAATCCATATTTTCCACAAAAATAAATATATCGGGGTGAACCAAAAACAAAACTGTTAAGAATAGATGTGACTTGAAAAATAAAACTTAATTTAGAACAATATACGGTTTTGTCACTCTACAGTGTGTCTTAAACTTATGGTAAAAAACATATTTTTGTTTAAACCTGTATATTATAGACGTGCGTCTATTTTTTAGTAATTTTTTAAAATGTGAGCGATTGTCCATTAATTTATCTACAATCGATTATTTTGCCTGTGATGTATATATTGCAAATTAATTTCCTCAACAAGCAGAACTTATTATAAATAATAACTTTTTATCGTTATAAAATAAAAATATTTATTATTCGCCATCATCAAAATAATTAATAACTTAAAGGTAATAAAATAATATCATCTAGCAGTAAACATTATTTTTATTTTTACACTCATTGTCAATGAATAAATACTAAAGGTTATTCTTTTCGATCTAAAAATACCTCAGACAATTATTTTATTATCATTAATGCTTGAATTCAGATAATTCTATGTAAACATTTTTTCATGTGTCACACAGGGTATCTATTGATTTTATTTTGTTCATAGCAACCGAGTCGAGGTGAAATACCTTCTAATCACTGAATAAAACAATAATAATATTGACATGAAAAACATCTGGAAGAAATTTGCTGTGAATTAAAAGACCGTCGTAATCAACAACCTGTAAAAATTACAAACTCTATAGATCGTCGCGTTACAGCAAGTTAAAACAAATCCCGAACCGTTTCGTTCAGTGAATACGGTATAGGCGACATGCAACAGCTTGTTCAGTCAAGTTTAATGGTTGCTCGTCACGTCACATTATCCAAAAATCAAGCAGCCAGGTAAATTGTATACCTCCTGTTGCTCGATAAATGTCACGGGAGCTGGCTGGCGAGCGATCGATGGCAACAGCGCGTTCTCAAACTGAAGAAGGCACTCGAAGAACGTTTACGTGCCAAAGGCGCCTCTTGTCATTGAGTGGTTATTGTCATACCCACATCTCGTCCATTTAAGAGGGAAATGTTATGCATCTCACCGATGTTACACAACTTTTAAGGTATTTAAGTAACAAGGGGTTTCTGTATATTTGCCCTTCTTACGCGCTAAAGGGCGACAAGAGGGCAACGTTATGCATCTCACCGATGTTACATAACTTTTAAGGTATTTAAGTAACAAGGGGTTTCTACATATTGACACAAAGTTTCATTGATATAAATGGGGGTTCTAGGAGGAACCTTGTATTTATTGTTGTCATGCTGCGTTTACGAATGGGGCGTAACGTCGTTTCGGGGCACAGGACGTAGGTCGTTGATAGAAGGAAGCGTGCGGTGAAAAAGCTAGACGCGCTCTGCGATCAATAACGTTGAAAAGGTCCATTTTGCACCAAACCACCGTGCTCTGGATATTTCTACGCGTGATTCGAAAATATTGCCAATTTGTACATTTTTTCAAATTTAAATTAACATTTTTATCTATTTCGATGCTACTAGCGTTCTTAGACGACGTAACAGTGTGTTAAAAACGCGTCTTTCTGGTTTTGTTTATCAAAATTGTCATAACGAAAAAGCAGTCACTAATAATTAGTTAAATTCTACTGAATGAAATGGTTAGTGGATTTAAATTTAAAAAAAGTTTTGACCCAGCCGGGGATTGAACTCAGGTCTGTCACTTGTTAAGCTTGTCAATAAATATTGTTCATAATACAGGGTGTTATGTAATTAATGATATATATTAAAATGGGTTGTTCCTTAGGGTCCATAAAGAAGCACCTGAAACTTTTTTTTTCTAAATTCCAAAGTCTAAAATTAATTTATAATAACCTTTATCCTACCAAAAAGTCCGCCACTGATCGACTAGGAACTTTAGGCTAATCTGGTTAATTTATTATGTTATGGTTGGTAACAACAGTGTTTCCAAAATCTGTCAAAAAAGTTGACAAACATTGTTTAAATTTAGCTTAATTGCAAAAATGACAAAATTAACGATGCAAATTGTGAATTTGGCATTTTTATTAATTGTTGGTTATGTCATTTTTGTACTGAAGGTAAATTCAAACAAAATCTGACAACTTTTATGGCAGAATCTAGTGCATTTCTTTCAAATTTTAGGTTATGTGCTCAAATTGTAAATATCT